GTATCAAAACAATTTACAAGTCAAAAGGAACCTGGAGTTAATGTAGTCAAGACTACTCCATTTTACAGAGAACTTCGTCCCAGAAAGCTGGAATCATACCAAAAACCACACTTCTGCTGCTTGAATCTCTTCTATAATGTCCGGTCAAGTAAGTGACAAATTTTGCTTGAATCCTTCAAGTGACTGGAAATTCACTCATTTTTTTTTGCCCCATTCTGTTAGGAAGTGTTTCCTGATACTGGGCTGAAATGGCCAATAAACAAGTAAACAGTCTGTGTTTTGACGTTGACCTGAAATGGCTTGCTGTAGCTCCTGCCACTGGGTTGAGCTTCACCCTCTGAGACTTGCCTGAGGAATTATGGGCCCTTTTCCACATGACAGTACTTCAGACACTTGAAGACAGCCATCATCCTCTCACATGTATACTTCAGGCTAAACATTCACATTTTCCTCCAATCATTCCTTAGATGAGCTTATTTACCATCCTTCTTGCATGTATGTAAACGGGTCCTAGATTTTTTACAGTGAAATACGCTGAACAAAATATTTCTAGTTATGTGGTCAGACTATATACATTTTGCAATTATACATATTCACTGCAGGAAAATGAGATTTCCTTGCTTTTCACTTAGTGTATTTCCTTACATCATTAAAAAATTTTTGTAAGTGTATTTAAAAACTTAAAGGCTGAAAACTTTAAAAATTGTGTTTCTTTTTTGGATGTGTTACATGCATATGGCACAAAATTCAAAATGTCTAAGAAGGTTTACAATGAAACGTCATGATCCGTAGCCTTCCAGTTGAATATAATACAATGTAATATAATATTGCAGACTCCCTCTTTTTTAAGATGCATAATTCTGATTATGATATTCAATAATATGGCTGTACATATCTTTTTTAAATTGAAGTATAGTTGATTTACAATGTTGTGTTAGTCTCCGGTGTACAGCATGGTGATTCAGTTATACACACAAATACATACATATATATTCTTCTTCACATTGTTTTTTATTATAGGTTACTACAAGATACTGAATGTGCTATACAGTATGAACTTGTTTAACTATTATATATCTAGTAGTCAGTATCTGAAAATCCCAAACTCCCAATCTGCCCCTCCCTCCTCTTTCCTCCCTGGTAACCTTAAGTTTGTTTTCCATGTATATAAGTCTGTTTCTGTTTTGTTAATAGTTCGTTTGTGTCATTGTTTCAGATTCTACATATGAGTGATATCATATGGTATTATTCTTTTTCTTTCTGGCTTACTTCACTTAGTATGATAATCTCTAGGTCCATCCATGTTGCTGCAAATGGCATTATTTCATTCTTTTTTATGGCTGAGTGGTATTCCATTGCATATAAACATACTACATTTTCCTTATTCATCCGTCGATGAACATTTAAGTTGCTTTCATGTCTTGGCTATTGAAAATAGTTCTGCTATGAACATTGGGGTGCATGTATCTTCTTGAATTAGTTTTCTCCAGATATATACCCAGGAGTGGGACTGCTGGATCACATGGTAACTTCATCTTTAGTTTTTAAAGGAATCTCCATACTGTTTTCCATAGTGGCTGCACCAAATTACATTCCAACCAACAGTGCAGGAGGGTTACCTTTTCTCCATACCCTCTCTAGTACGTATATATCTTTTTAATCATTCATCTTAATTTTTTATTACTATTACTAAAAATGCTGTTATGGACTTCCTTATGTATACTTTACATATTTTAGATCATTTCTTAAAGTAGATGCCTAGAAGAAAATAGCTGCATTGCATAGTAAGACTTATCTGTAATAATTTTCCACATGGTTACCATTTCATAAATGAAGTATTTATAGATATACACAAGCAGTATATAAGTGTCCATCTCACCACACTTTTGCAACTGTGGAATACTATTATATATTGATTTTTTTTTTCAAATTTGTTGTCTTGATTTGCTTACCATTGAGAATGAATTTTTTAATGTTTTTATATCTCTACTGGCTATTTGTGTTGCCTCCTTTGGACATTTAAGTCCTTGTTAATTTTTAAAAAATCAATTTTTATGAGTTAGAAAGAGTATCAGTCCACTGTCATATTCCTGGCAAACGTTATTCTTTCTAGCTTTTAAACTCTTAAAGATGTTAAATGTATGCTAATGCCAGTCCATACCAAACAATTAAGTGTAGTTAATTGTTTTAAATTTTGCTAAATATAAGACCTTATATTTATATTGCAATATATTTTATCTTTCTACAAGTCCACTTCACTCACCAGATTTTAAACTCCTGCAGTCCAAGTACAATACCTTAATCATCTTTCTAAAACGTAACATAGACATTTACAGAGAATAGATAGTCCCTAAATTTGATATCTAAATGAGTGAATAAATTTAAAAATTCTATTTTGTTGGACCCTGCTTGCATGGTTACATATTCCCAAAATTTCTGAATTCTAATTATTATTACCTAGAATTTAGCCCAGAGTAAACATCAAACTGTTCTAAGGTTTGCAAAACCTTCTACTGTTTCTAACTTTGAATTAGGTAAAAATTTGATAAATATGGGTTCCATATGTTTTCTCAAGTCAGTGAACTACAGTGTTGACCCACATAGGGACTGTGGTTCTACACTGAAAACCTTCACAGAGGCTGACTGCCATCCAGGATCAGTACTCTTTGGGTATTAAGTCCCTCCCTGAAGGTACGATCATCTAGCCTTTTTCCTCCCAAACTTACTGGTTAAGTATATAATGAAAAATGTCAGTAATGTCTGTTGGGCACAGCTAAATATTGTCTACTTCATTTTATTGGTGCACTGGTCTAGTAATCCTGTCAGGAAGAAAATAAAATTAGGCAAATACATTCTGGTTGGTAAATCCATACTGTATTTGATTGATTACTGTTTTCTTTTAAAGATGATCCCAGAGCATCCTTTTACTAGTTCCTTTTAGATTCTTGCTTAAGATTAAAGTAGTCCTGGTGGGGGGTTAGAGGTGTTAGGGACTCTCAGTTGAATGAATAAAGTCCTAGTCAAGTAAAGAGTGAAAGGAGGGTTTCCAAATGATATGGATTTCCATTCTATATCACCAGAACCCCTTTAGTTGTCCATGATCTTTTCCGTATTACTGAGGGTTTGAGACTGCCAAGGAATATTGAAAAAATACGTTTTCCTATGAGTAGTTTGGATAGGACTGAGTAAAGTGAAGACAATCTTAAAAGCTAAGATGACACAGACAGCGGTTACTCCTGGTACAGATCAAGGGAGTGGGGAGTGGAAAGCATTTGTCAAACAGACGCTCTTTCTGATGACATGAAATACTCTTTGGGGGAACTCTGAGTATTAAATCGGCTACCACATGGCTTTCTGGTTCTGGCAATGCATGGTAACCATGTTAGGTCTCTTTCGATCTCTTGACAATCTCTGTCAAAGCCGAGACTAGGGGTCTGTAATTTGCTAACTCCACCCTGTTTCACATATTCCCTCCAAGGAGTCCCTCAGACCTTCTTCACCCACCACCATCCATTTCATTATCCTCCAGTCCCTCCAACTCTGGGGAACCTCACCTACCAGAGATATTACTAGATTCTCTTTAACTCTGTGTATTCCCTTCATAGGGTTACAGTAACAAATTACCACAAATTGGTGGCTTAAAACTACAAAAATGTATTCTCTCATAATTCAGGAGTCTGAGGTCAGGGAGTTGGCAGGGCCGCACTTCTGGAAGACCTAGGGGAGGGTCTGAGTTTTGCCTCTTCCAGCTTCTGGTACCTGTGAGCATTCCTTCATTTGAGGCTGTGTTACTTCAACCTTAGCTTCATTGCCTCCTCTTCTCTGTGTCTTCTTCTCTTCAGTTTGTCACATAAAGATTGTTGTCACTGGATTTACAGCAGGTGATCCAGAGTGACTGATCTCATCTCAAGATCCTTAATTATATCTGCAAAGACCCTTTTTCCAAATAAGGTTCCAGGGATTGGAACATGGACATATCTTTTTGGGTGCCACAATTCAAGCCACAACATCTTGCTTAAGGATACAATTTTTTTTCCTTCTTTTTTTTTTTCAAGCTTTACCTCTTGAAGCTCTGAAGAAAACTGTTCTTTGTCACCTTAGCTTTTAAGATTGTATCTTCACTTTAAGCACTTCTTTGGAAAATTCAATCTGTTCCTTTGTTTCAGTTGCTTTCTTTTTGTTTTTGCAATTCCCCCTTCCCTGGGCAAGTGAATACTACATCAATGGGAGGGAACATCCCAAATAATTTCCCAGGTTTTAATTTCTGCTTTTCACCCTGAAGGCAGCCATTTGCCCACGTTTAGTGTTCTAGCACCTATTCTGGTTTCTGTAATTCCTCAAAGATGGGGACAGCTGTTCTCAGGTCTCATTTGCACCCTTCCTCTCTTTCCTCAAGAACCTGCAATATAAGCCACTCATATCAGATGATACATTCTAAACTGGAACTGTTACCTAACTGTTACTTTCTTAGAGTTTCTTCTATTTGGAAAGAGTATTGTTTCCTGTCACTATTTATACTAGTCTTTTGAGTAATATTATTATGTTGCTATTTATTGAGTCATTACTATGAGCCTGGTTCAGTCTCATTACTCAGAACAATCCTATGAGAAAGATGCAGTTATCTCCATTTTACAGATGGGGAAAGAGAGACCCAGGGAAATGTAACTGAAAAGTGTAACTGAAAAGTGCTGAAACAGAGAATTAAACCCAAGCTTGCCTGATGCCACAGACATACATAGTTCTTCCTACTATGTCAACCTGCTTCTCAAGTTTCCTTTGAAGAGAATGAAGCAAAATAATATGTAAGGAATCTGTTTTCTCTGTCAACTCTAACCTTACACCAGAAACTGTAAATGGGCTTTTCCCTTCCTTGATCATCTTCTGGCTCTGAACAGAATTTTTAAAAGCTCGTTCTTTGTCCTCTCTTAGCATTTTTTGCAAGTCACACCTCATTTGGGAGCTTCAGGTTTCTAGACACTATGCTTTAGGGCCCATGTTACCTTCTTATAATTATCCTTGGTATGTGGTTGTTTTCTCCCAAGGTTTCTGTCACTTCCAATTAGCCAAGCAATTCCTCCTTGTTGGTCAGAATTAGGTTCTCCAGTTGCTCTGCTGGGACATCAAATCATGAGAAAGGCAAATCAAAAACTTGTCAGATGTTTTGCTTTTAGCCCAATGAAACTTTTAAAAGGTATCCAGATATTTGAATTTTCTTTTTTGATTGTTGCATTGCTACAGGTATTGACCAATAGTATACTGCAGGGCACTGTGGTATCAATAATGAATTCTTTTACGAATAATTGCATGTGACAGTACATGTTTGGAGCCAGTTTTAAACCTCTCAAATAAAACACTCTAAAGCAGTTCCAGGCTTCCCCTTGTCTATGTGTACACCTAGTCATTCTAAAACATCCTGTTTCTCATCTCCCCCTCAAGTTCATCACATAGAGAAATATTTTTTATCTCTAACAAACGAATTCACTTGTGTATCTCATTTTGAGTGTAACCTCACACCAGAAAGTGGGAGATAAGGTGTGGAGTATGACCTCCCTGAAGTAAAACATGTCAGGAAGTCTATGAAGTAAGGTCATAAAACAGAGGGCTATGAATTTTGATGAGAAAAAAAAAACTGTACCTTAATTTTTGCTAACCTCTAAGTGAAATTTGGCATTTCTTTCAATTGTGAAAATAGGCAATAAACCAGTATTACTAGAAGTACCAGTGACTCTCACCAATAAAAATCAGGTATTTTCCCGTCAAATTACCATAGTTGTAGAAATCTCAAGAGACAGTTACTGTTCACTATTTAACAGTTATAGATATTATTAGGCCCTCTACTAGATTTTGGTTTTCAATGCATTCATAAAGAAGCACATGTAAAGCACACGTCTGTTGAATAGCCTGATTACTGTATTTTAGTATAGTTGGTTTCATTCATGTTCCTGTGCATATTTTATGCATTAAAAACATGATTCTAAAAAGGGTTTTATAGGCTTCACCAGACTGCCAAAGGCATCCACAGCACACAAAAAAAGATTATCTATTATGGATTCTGCATTGTGGTTAAGAGCATGTAGTCTTCTGTCACATTGCTTGGATTCAGATTCTGCTCTGTCACGGTATGACTTTGACTAAGATATACATATGTTTGTGCCTCAGATTCTTCATGTGTAAAACAGAGAGAATAATACCTACCTAAAAATCTTGCTATTATGATGAAGCAATACCCATAAGGGCTTACCACAATGCCAGGCATGTATTGAGAGTAAATTATTTATCTCCACATCCATCCAGAAGATAAGGGTTTAATTCAAATCCTATTTACATTCTCTAAATACAAATTTTTATTTATTACCATGTTGTACTGGCTAAAATTAAAAATTATATTTAAAAATACTGGCTGGTTTCAAACGGGTATTTGTAAAATATATGTGTGATATAAGGGAAAATGATACAATAGAGATCCATATGCCCTCCATCCCGATTAAAGGAGAAAATGTTACTTTAAAAAAGATGAACATATAATTTATTATCCAAACTAGGACACTTTGAGTGAAAGTCATCTTGGAAGTGGATCCTCTAGCACTAGTTAAACCATTAAGTGATCATTGCCCTATCTGACAGCTTGACTGCTACTTCACAATAGACTCTAAACGAGACCCACTTAGCGAACCTATTCCTGGATTTCTGACCCTCAGCCACTGCATGAGAGAGAACTGTTTGCTGCCTTAAATACTATGTTTGGAGGTAGTTTGTTATAAGGCAATACAAAACTAATAAAGATTTTAATACCTGGAAGTGGGGTGCTGCCATAATAAAGACCTCAAATGTAAGTGTGGCTTTGAAGTGCAGTGGGCAGAAGGTGGAAGGACTTGCAGGAGAGTGTTAGTGAAAGCTTGAAGATCCTAGAAGAAATTGTTCATACGTGTATGGTAACTTTGAGGAGGCTGCAGATGAGGTCTTAATAGATTAAAAATGTCTTACTGGAAATAGGAGTAAAGCGGTAGTAAGTTTAGCAAATTTGTCACCTGTAGTCATGTGCAAAGTAGAAAATACGCCTAATGAACTGGCTGACCTAGTCAAGGCAGTTTCCAGCAAGAATATTACAGATGTTACCTGATTTCTTCTTCTTGTTTATAGTAAAATGTGAGAGGAGAGAGATAAGTTAAAGGAAGAACTGTTAAAGAAAAAGGAGCCAGAACTTTTGGGATTTGAAGATCCCCAACCTCTCTAGGTGACAGATGATGCTAAAATTAGGAAATGGCTCAGGAAAAGAACAAATCCAGGGCACAAACAGGAAAATATGAAGTTGAGTTTGTAGTTGTAAAACCCTTTAAGACCTCAGAAAGATCTAGCATGGTGCCTTACAGTATTTTCATTCAGACATGCAGGGTGTGCCTGACAATACCTCTCAAATTACAGGGCTTCTAAGAATTTTAAGGGTGTGGTGCACCAAAAGCCCAAGGCAGAGAAAGGTTTATATGGAAGAGATTTACGTTGCTTTATTTAATGGTATGAAAGCAAATAAAATTCACAGGAGAACCACAAGTTTATAAAAGAATTATATTAGCAGGATATAATTTTTTAAAAGAAAATCTTTAATTTTTATATTAGTGGGCTGTTTGCCAGGCTGGACTGAAAGGGACAGAGAACCCAATGAGAAGAGGCTTTTGGACATCCAAACTTTTCCAGGCAGGGACAAGTACACAGCTGTAAATATGGAAAAAGAAGGATGACACAGTGAGAGGATCCAAGACACCAGGAAGTAGAGTTACGAGCCATGGAGATTTACTCTCAGGACTTCAGTCTTAATCAAGAAACTGCCAACCTATTCTCAGGAGGATTTCAGAATTCCTGTGAACCACGTATCTCATTTCCACCCTTTTAAACACATCTATTGTGGTTATCCCATTTTATATTAAGTGCGTGGAGGCTGATACTGTGTGTCTTTAGTATACAGGTCTTCCAATCAAGAGGAACTCCATTTAAAGAGCTGTGCTTAAGGAAGTACACCTGAAAAGCCTCATCCACACCTACAACTGACTTGGCTTTCTAGACTCTGAGTTAATGCTTTAATGGGATGAAAGTTTAGGGGAGTTTCGGTGGACGATGAGTGTGTTTGGCATACTGGAATGATGTGACTCTTTGGAGGTCAAATTGTGTTAGCCAGCTTCCTGGTATTCATGCTTTTGCATAATTCCCTCCCACACCATATCAAGGATCATCTGTGGGACCAATAGAATACAGAAGTAATAGTACATCACTTTGAGTGATTTTGGCTTGTCTCTCTCTGGGGAAGGCCAGGAACTATGTTGTGAGGACACTTAGGCAGCCTTGTGAATGAGCCATCATGGAAGTGAATCCTCTATGACCAGTCAAATCTTCAGTCCAGCCAACAGCTTGACTGAAAACTCATGAGACCCTGGGCCATGAGACCCTGGGCCATGAGTCCCAGCTAAACCACTGCTGGATTCCTGACCCTCAAAAAATGTAAAAGATAAATATTTTTAGTTTTCAGCTGTTAAGTCTTGGGGTAATTTGTTATACAGCAGTAGACAACTAATACAAATTCACACATTGCTTCATGTCTTTTACATGTCTCCTTTAATCTACATTTTTTTATCCTCGCTTTCCTGAAACATATTTGTTGAAGTTAATTTGTCCCATGATTTCCAGAGATTAGGTTTTTCTGATTGCATAGCCACTGTGTTTAACACATTCTCTACATTTCTCAGTATCAGGTTCAAATTTTTGACAAAAGTTTTTAATAGGTGACATGTATTTTTTCCTTTAAGAGGCATGTAACGTTTCCTTATTTGTCATATTAGCAGCTGTTGATGTGCAATAAGTCAATTATTCATTAATAATCTCAAAATGATAATTTTCTAATTTTATCATTCCTCCCTCATTTATTAATGTATGTATATAGAAAAACTTCCCCTCATTTATTATTTGGTTACTTGTGGTACAATTCATGTAAGAAAGGCAGGATCAATACTCAATTAATTATCTTTTTAAAAAACTGGTTTTCAAAATAATGAATGATTGCATAACATCCTCCAATGCTGACCAATTAGATGCTTTTTGTAAGTTTTATTATCATTATGAACTCATGAATTAAGGGACATTTGATAATTTCACATGTTCCAATCCATTGCATTTGATATGTTCCATCCTGTGCTCAAAGGATTTCAATGAACCTGTGTGTCTTTATTAATACTCAAATCGTCCCATCTTTGGCCAGAGGGATACTTTTCAGTTGTGTCTTGAGTCAATTTGACATGATCCTAGTATTCTAATGGTAGCTTCCTTGCTAAACTGCACAACCAAACGTTCCAGGCTCATCTTGTACATTTCTTGCACCTAGCTGAAATTAACTACTGCTCCAAGGGCTTATGGTATCTTTGGAATAGAGTTGTTTTTTAAAAAATGTATTTTAATGTAGTCTTCTTCTTTATAGGCTTTTCATTTCCCTACCATTAGAGCATAAAGATATCTTGCTATCTTTTCTTCCAAATGTTTAGTAGATTTTCCTTTCACATTTAAATCTTTAATTCACCTGGAACTGATTTTTCTGTATGGTGTTAAGTAAGGAGGTCCAATTTCATTTTCTTCCGTATGGATATCCAGTACCATTTATTGAAATGCTCTTGCTTTTCCCTTTGGCCTGAAATGCTGCCTCTGTCTTAAATCAATATTCCTTATAAGAGTGCATCTATTTCTATACCTGTATTTCAGTACAGACATACTTTGTTTTATTGCACTTAACTTCATTGTGCTTCACAGATACTGTGTTTTTTAAAAATTGAAGGTCTGTGGCAACACTGCATTGAATGAGTCTCTCTGCACCATTTTTCCAAGAGCATTTGCTCCCTTCATGTCTCTGTGTCAAACCTGGTAATTCTCAAAATATCTCAAACCCTCCACCAGCAAAAAGATTATAACTCACTAAAGGCTCAGATGAAGCATATTTTAGCAATAGAGTATTTTTAAATTAAGGTATATACTTTTTAAAAAAGGATATGATGCTATTTCATACATAACAGAATATAGTTCAATGTAAAAATAACTTTTATATACACTGAGAAACAAAAAATTCATGTGACTCATTCCATTGTGATATTTGCTTTACTGCAGTGGTCTGGAACCAAACCTGCAGTATCTCCAAGGTATGCCTGTTGTCCTTCTTCTGACAATTAGAAAAGGCGGATAAAATAGAAAACAAACATCTGAAAGCATCAGAGAGCTGATGAGGCAGTGGAAACTCCAGATGGAAAAAAAGCCAGAATTGTTGAACCCAGTATGTATGATAGCTTTTTTCTGGGGTATCAGTTGATTCTTGAGAAGATGACTGACAAGCTGAACAAAGCATATGACTAACTCCATGAGTTAAAATGACAAAAACTGGAGTTCAGGGCCTGCCTTGGTTGACTCTACAGACTTTAAGTTGAGACCTCAAAGGTCTATACCCTAGGAAAAAGTTCCAACTAGAAGCAGACCTCCTCAGATTCCAATCATCTCAATCACCGACTAGATTAAGGTGATTTTGGATTAGTAGAGCCCAAAACCCCTGCCAGGAGACATAAATCCTTTCTGCAGAAAATATCATCATTTTAGACCTCTAATTATAATTTCATATACCAGTTCTGGCATTCATCAAAAATAACATAAATTAACAAATTTTTATAAATAAAAATGATATAAGTAATATAAAATAAAAAAAAGCCCATAAAAGTAAGTAAGACAATATGATAAAAAATAAACACAACAAAGAAACAAAGAAGCATCAGGCAACAGCAGACCCACAGTTACTATACACAAGTTTTTAAATTATTATGCTTAATATGTTTGAGGAAATAAAAGATCAGATGGAGATAGATAACTGGATAGCTAACTGGAAACTATAAAACAGAACCCAACAGAAATGCCTGAACTGATAACAACCAAAAAGATAATAACTGAAATAAATGCTTTAACAGATAAGTTTAACAGGAAATTAGAAACTATTAAAAATAAAAGAATTAATTGAAAGGTAAGAAGTATTCAGAATGAACCACAGAGACAAATAAATGGAAATAAGGGATAAAGTGCAATGATCTACTATACATTTAAGTGGAATACCAGGAGAGCAGAGGGGAGAGAGCAGAGCAGAAACAGTAACTGATAAGAGCTGAGAAAAAACAGAATGAGACATCAGGTCCTGGATTCAAGATGCATTACAAACCTCAAAATTGAAAACAAACAAATTAAAAAAAAAAAGAAAAAAGAAAAAAATGTATTCACATCATAATAAAACTGCTTCGATTTTTGGACAAACATCTTAAAAACAGCCAAAGGAAAAAACAGATTCCTTTAAAGGGGCAAAAATAAAACCGACATTATTTTTCAAAAAGAGAATTGGAAGCCAAAAGCAGTGGAATGTATCTTCAAAATGATAAAATAGCTACTAACATTTTGCTACAGCAAAAAAATTCTTTGAAAGTGAAGGTAAAGTAAATAGTTTCAGGATACAAAAACTGAATTTGTTACAACAGACATCTACAAAAGGAAATACTAAAGCATGTTCTTCAGGAGGAAGAAATAAGATCCCAGATAAAAGCTTAGAAACTCCAAGAGTCATGAAGTATAACAGACATAGTAAATGTCTGAATAAATATAAATGCACATTAATTACATAAAAAGAATAATGTCTTCAGGAATTTAGGAAATATATATTGAGGAAACACAATGTATATAACATGGAGCAGGGTAGTAAACAAAGTTGATGTATTCTCAGGTCCTTACATTGTCCAGGAAGAAGTACAATATAAATTACTAAAATAATATATAACTGTCAGGCTTATGGGTTGGAAGAAATGAAATAATTAAAAATAATCTCAAAGAAGGCAAAAAAGGAGAAACTCAACACAGGAGAGATGGGACAGATGAATAGCAAGTAACACGGTAGATTTAAGTCCAGGTAAATTAGTGTATTACACGTAACTCAACTAAACAATCCAATTACAAAAATATTATCAAAGCAAATTTTAAAAATACATTCTTGCATATAACTCTTCAGGTTAAAATGCTTTTCCCACTATAGTTATAATAAAATCTAAACCCTTCCCTGGCTTTCAACGCAACCATAACTCAGCCCTTTCCTACCCCCAAACTTACTCGTCTTGTAGTTACTATGCTTACTATGCTTCAACCAGGCAGGCCTTCTTTTAGTTCCTGGAATTTCCCAAGGTAGTTCATGCCTCAGGGTTTTACGTTATTGTCCCCTCTGCAAGCAATGGTTTCCCCAATTTTTGCAAAACTGGATTCTCCTGTCAAATAGGAGTTTAAATAGCACTCTTTTAGAAGATTTCCTTAGTCACCTAATCTAAAATACTCATCTATTTTAACTCCCTGCCTAGCACTATTTTATATTTTTCTTGCTTATTATGGTCTATTATCACTAAAATGTAGGAGGGAACCATGTCTGCTCTATTTACCCCACTTTCCCTAAGTCCAAAACAGTGACTAGGATATGGTAGATACTCAATAAGTAGTTTATGAATGAATAAAGCTAATTTAGGTTCTAAACAGGTCCTTTCTTATGGTTTTGTTTATTGGCTTGGTGGTAGTTGTTTAGACTTTCCTGACACCACATTGTATCAAATGATATCAAGATCCTATTTATGTACATTAGTAATACAGTATGTTAGTGCATTGTATAATGTGTGTAAAATTTGCAGTTGTCCAACCAGTTAGTCAGATATGTAAGTGCCGTCCTCACTACAACTACAATAACAAGTAAATAAAAGTTCAGAGGAAGGCTATCCAACTATCAAAGGGTTGCAATACACTTCTGAAGAACATGTTCATGTTTTCCCCAAATTAGAAAGATGACAGTAATAAAGGTGGATGTTACAAAGCACAATTTTTTTTTTGGAAAAAAAATCCTTTTATATATTGTTAAGTAAAAAAATTAATCAAAAAATATTACCCCCTTATAGAAAAGTTGTTTTAGAGGGGTAATTCCAGTAATGATGATTGATGCATTTTGGTTACTTCATTTTTTACTCTTTGTTCTATACTTAGGACTTTTTTCACGTCAAAGCAACCATATAATTATGTCTTTCATCAGAAAGACTAGTCTAATGGCTTTTTAAAATAGCAAGATAATATTCCACTAAGTATACATGATAGAAATTTGACCAATCTCTTAAGTGCTAAAGATTGTTCCCAATTTTTTACTATTATAAGTATTCCTAAAACTAACATATTTGTCCATAAATTATTTTAAGGGCAGTTTAACTGGAGTGATTTTATCTACAACATTCATTTAAATGGTATTTCTCAAGGGGATGAGGGTGGGCAATACACACAAAAAAAGATTCCAGCTCTCTGGGCATTTATGTCTAATTAGGAAAACAATATACATTATGGGGTGGGGTGGGGTGGATTACAAAGGCACCACGTAAGAAAGTGTAATTATATAGTGGAAATTTCTTAGAGAAGCCAATCTGGAAAACATTTTGCAAAGAACATGGAGCTAGACTTTGAAAAAGTGATAGTTCTTACTGGTCGAAAATGTTCCAAGTAGGTGCAGGTGTAGGAGGAGATAACTATTGGTATTCTTAAGTAGTTGAGGACAGTTCTCACTCAGGACAATTTATCGCAAAGCTCAAATAGTAAGCAACCAAGATTTTTATCAAAGAGTGGATTCCTAATTCCTTTCTCAAAAACTACTGAATTTTTTCTTAATCTCCATCATCCACATCACTTTTCCCCTTTCATAATTTCCCCCTTTCTTTGTACCTCTGTCAAAGACTCTCATCTATTTAAGTAATGAAAATAGGTAAATCCCTCTACTTCAAGGCATGTAACCTTACATAACATTATAATTACTCTGTGGGATAAAAAAAGACTAGGAGATGCTGCCTTAAAACATACAGTATGCATTTTTAATATTTAAAAATATTACTGTAATAGAAATAAAAACATTAAAGGATATTAACCAAGGGTTATTTATCAACTTGCCATACATCAGATAAGGAACATAGAACCCCATGATCTATTAAAAATTAGCAGATAACGAATACTGACTGTGATTTCCTTTTGTGGTTTTACTCTGGCAGGAATGGATTCCACCCTAATAATTTCAGTCTTACTGTCACATAGGAGGAGATGCTTTCTGAACCTCAATAAGGCTGTCAGGTTTAGGACAGATGTAAGAACCCCTATGTAGGAAATGAAAGAGTAAGAATTCATAGTACGTGTTGTCACTGACAGACTGATAGCCACTTTCCTTCTCCACCTTTTATTCCTCAAGGATAGCAGCTGCTTTCCAGATACACCAGCAAACGAGACTCCAGTCCTCTCTACCACACTTAACCATTTGCGGATGCCCTGAGGCTTGTCTGTTTACAACCTTGTCCCACACAGCAGAGTTGGAACTCTCTGGATTCACGCTCAATAGGATCTGTTTCACATAATATTTCCCAGCCCCACCCCACGTCCAGCTGTTTCCAATGTTAATACTTATTCTTGTCACTGATCATCACGCCATTCATCCCCCAATAAACAAAATTTAAAGTAAAAACAATAAACAATTCATACTCCCAGTCTCTATCCCCCTTTCTAATATAAAGCAACTGTGCATGCCCTGTGCATACTTCTTTTGGATGGCTCAAAATTCTGACTTTATAGCTTGGATATCATACTTTCAAGGTACTTTAGTAAGGGGGATTGAAACTTAACATCTCTAACCACCTCTGTCAACTCAACTTTTCTAAATTCTTCTGAATCTTCCTAGTTTCCTTCGCAATTCCAGCTTTGCGACAAAACTAGACCCTATGGCAAAAAGAGATCCCACAGATGAAAGTGCAGATACAGCCAGGACTTAAGCAAGGATCCCCAAATTAGGAGATTAATTTTGGGGTTAAAAATACTCTGTATATACATTTCAAGCCTGCCACTAATACTATGTACAGCCAAATAAAAAGATAGAGGTGACAGGTACAGAAAACAACACAAAATTCTGAAGGTATATGAGAGTTCTTTTTTGAAAAAAGAGCCAACAACAACATAAAATTAGGAGGTATACGGGAGTTGGACTTTTTCCCTTCTGATTTTAAACTAAAAGGAAACCGTCCATATTAGAATGTATTAAACAGGCAGAATTCTCTTCCCGGTTTCCCTGCGCTTGGTAGATGTCCTTCTGGCTTCAGCTGGTATCTGTGAATAGCGAAGAAACTTCTCACGATCAGATTCCACTGCCCTGAGGAAGGGTAGAGCTGGAGGACCCGCTAAAGCCGGGGACAGAGACGACAAAGGGACACGTCTGTGGAGATCCGGAAAGTCTCCAAGAAGGGACAGTCAGAAACACGAGAAAGTAAAAAGAGAAAGAGCGTGACTGAGCCGAGGTAACTACTGTGTTGTCTCAGCCAGAGCGCGGTCTGCGGTTTTCTTCCGCACTAAATCCGCCGGATCTGGGGTTGGCTCCCACTCCATTCACCAACCTGCACCTCCATCACCTTCCAAAGCGAAGGTGCGCTCTCGCCCAAACCATCCAACCTACCTCCGGATCCTCGCAGGCGCGACAGCGGCGCGCCGCCCGCCCACCTACCTGTGCTGCGCCTGCGCCTCCCCGGCGCGCTCTCAAGGTCAGCACCGCCCCCAGCCTCTAACCTAGCACCCACGGAAGTGGCAATAGAGGACGTCCTGCGTAGCCTCACCTCTGCGTGGCGTGGGGTCGCCGGCGTTCAGGAGAGGGGAGGGACTTCCTGTCCCGCGCGAGCAGGACTTCCGGCAGAGCCGGAAGACCCGCTCCCTCTCTGTGTGGAGTGGATCCCGGCTGCAGGGTCGGGAGGGGAGGTCAGGGACGGTCCCGGCGACTTCAGGGCGTCTGGCCCACGACCTGTCCTTGACGCCATGGTGAGTCTATCTGTGAGGGCTGGAGTAACAGCAGTGGGGAGGAAGGGGCCGAGAGGTCAGTCCTGTGAAGGGAGCGGGTCGGGTGCTCAACTGAGGATGGAGCGGGAGGGAGCAGTAGGATGAGCGGTAGGGCAGGACCTACCACCTGTCCCAGAGCGCCGGGGCCCCTGAGGAAGCAGTTTCTGTCCTACCCAACCGCTAGATCTGTCCAGGAGTACGGGGTAGATAGTCAGAATGTTCATGGCCCTTCACTGTGTACGGCCTGTGGGGCCAGGTAGTCCCATAATTGACTTTGCCCGGTTGATCGTCTCATTTCATTCCTCTGATGCAGAGCAGTGGCCAAGAACTTTAGATCTTAGAATGCCTTTAGCCTTTACAGGTGAACACAGCAGATCCTCTTCTTGTAGAGGATCAACACCTGTAACTTAAACAGCAAAGTCAGTTATCTTTCGAATTAAGGCATTTGGAATTGGAAAAGGTGTCAAATAAATCCTGCCCTAATAAGGAGGGTCTTTATTCGAAAGGAATATTGCAATTGTAAGGGCAAGGGGGAGGGAGCTGTTGGAGTAGGGAGAATGTCCTGACCTTAAGGTCTGCAAGAATCTCGAAGGTTAGGCAAAAGGGTTTTTTCTTTTATAGGGAGGAGTAAACAAGGCTAAAAAGAACTGGGTGTGCGGAAGTGAGATCAAAGGGTCGTTTGATTGGACAATAGATCAGAGAATATTTTACCCTCAGGCCTGTGTGTTCTGGGGAAGAGCTGTTTAGGAGGAGCTGTGTCTTGTTTGAGGCTGCGGGTGGGCCAAAGTTCAGGAACCTGGGGGAAGAAATCTTAAGCAAAATTTGGGTAACATTTTGTTCCAATTGATCTATGAGAAGAATTCAACTAGTGATTTATGAAGCAAAGAATAGGAATTTGCAGATGCTATGTTTGGCCTTGTTATAGGTTAACAAGGAGGTGGGTCATTCCTGAGTCTTACCTAAGTCCTATGAGGACTGGTTGTTCTTTGCGGTAAGCTGTTTTCAGAACACAAGACGGTGGCAGCTGAGGGGATTTCTCCTGCTTTTTCCAGTATCACAGGGATCCAGTAATGTTCAACACTGTCAGTTGCTTGACTATATAAAAAATTTCAAATTCTCACCTGGAGGAGATTCTGTCTTGGAATTTAGTTTCAGTTTGCCATATTTTTTCAGGACCAAATGTTGACATCATTTAGCTATTGTGTACAATGATTGACTTTTGAATGACTTGTAGAAACTTAACTGACTGAAACAGAACTTCAAAATAACACGGTTCCTGGTGCACTCTACCAGCTAACCTATGACTCTTGGGCATGTGTGTGTGTTTATTTTAACCTCATGGCTAGTACAATTTGTAATAATTAAGAGGTTTTTTTCTCCTTTCATATCAATGAAATTAGACAAAGATAAGGAACAGTAGAACTGAAAGATAATAACTAGCTTAACCATCTCTCCCTCTCCCTTGCCTTGCCCCCACCTCCCATTTTATAGAGGGAAGAATCTGAGGTCTAGAAATAGACAGTGACTTACCTAATGTAACAAATTTGGCCCAGTCTGAACTGTAACTCAGATCTCCAGTTTTGAAATTTAAGCTCATATTTTGATAACTTGATCTGAAAAGTTGAAGAGAAAGTGTAATTAAAATCCTTAAATTTATAATTGTGCCAGAGAAGCTGAACATGAACCTATTCTCAGTATTCTGTAATACTAAAGCCAGCTCTAAAAAGGTAGTTTTAAGATTAGGTAAAATGTCACTTAAGAGAATGTCACCAGGGGCCAAGTAGTTGACTCTCCATTTTGGTATTGCTTTTATTTCTGAGTTAATTACTAACCTCTGGGCTTTAGCTTTCCTGGCTGTGAAATTGATAAGGTCTGTATATGCATGGGTGGGCAATGCCTGGAATCCCTTCAAAAGAAAGGGTTTAGTCATTCAGTGAAGTGAATAAGGGCTGAAATTATTTAGGATTCAGCTTAGTTGAATTGAGATCTTGCGCACTACTTGGGCTATAATGAAAAGAGAGTAATACTTGAACTCAGAAAACCCAGATTCTGCCCATTATTAATTATACGAACTTAGCAAAATCATTCAACTTCGATAAGAATTCCAATTTCCTTCTAGATAAGAGACTTGGAACTTGACGGGAATTAAAACACCTTTTAACTCTTATATTTATGATTCTGTGACTTCACCGAGGACTTTTTCAGAATTTTCAGAAAGTTTCTGATGAAGTAAAATTGTATCTGATTTCCACTCTCCTTCCCACCCCACTTTGGTTTCTCAGGTTTGATTTTTTTTTTTGTTAATTCTCCTTTTCATTTTTTAATGTATCATGTAGGTAATACTTAGAATTTGTCGATATGTTTGACCAAGTATTTCACTACTGTCTTAAAGGCTAAAACAGAGTGGAAAACAAAGCCTTGGGACACTTTGATTTTATTTTTGTTTTAATTGATAAAACTCCTATGATCCAGACTAAAAATACTGAGTATTCACTCTTAATTTTTTTGCTATCATGTTGTGAAAATGGATAGTCCGTAGAAAATTTACTGAAGGAATAAAACTTTGTTTTATTATACTTTTCTCTTTGAAAATTATAGAACATCTAATCAGATGGCTTTCCACACAAGTTAGTGTGATTTGTGAGAGAAAAACAGATTAGAATTAACTCCTGGAATTGTAGGAATCTCATGGCTTGTTTTATCTATATAGCATACTGTGGAAACTTCTACCGATGAGATTGTGCTGTTTGTGTTGATAAAAAAAAAAGTTTATGAACCTCTGCCTTAATCAGAATTAAGGAGAAAGTTTTCTTTTGAGGGGGTAAGGAGGGATGTTGGGAAGAGATAATGTGGTAAATGTTAGAGGAGAAATATATGTAATATGTTCAAAGAGTTATACAGAGGAAAAGAAATTGATTCAAATGAGGGTGGGGGGCGGGCAGGAGTCATGTAATAGGTGACTTTAACTGAGTTTTGAAAAGTGGGTTAGGACACTAGTTCTTAACTTGAAATGCTTGAGATGCTCTCAACCTGTGATGCTAGAGGATTAAAATGCTTATCTGGGCTCCATTTTTGGAGGGGTGGAGTTTCAGAATCTAATTTTTAATGTGTTTTACTGGTAAGTCTGAAACTGGTAGTCCTTAAACCTCACTTTGAAGGAACTCTAATGCAGAATTTAGAAACTTTGGAGATATTGGAGTATTTGTGCTGAGTGATAATCAGACATGTGTAGTTTGTTGATATGGTGGATTACTTTAATTGACTTTTGAATGTTGAACCACCCACAGATACTTGGAATAAATTCCACTTTGTCATGGTGTATAATTCTTCTTGTATGTTGTTGGATTTGACTTGCTAGTATTTTGTTTAGGATTTTTGCACCTATAGTCATGAGAGACACTGGACTGTGGGATTTTTTCCCCCCTTGTAATGCCTTTGCCTGGTTTTGGTATTAGGGTAATGCTGGCCTCAGAATGCGTTAGGAAGTATTTCCTCTGCTTCTGTCCTCTTAAAGAGACTATAGAGAATTGGTATAATTTCTTAAATGTTTGGTAGAGTTCACCAGTGAATCCTACTGGGCTGGGTGCTTTTTGTTTTGGAAAGTTATTAATGGATCCAGTTTCTTTAATAAATACAGGCATTTCAGAATATGTATTTCTTATGTCAGTTTTGGCAAATTTATCTTTCAAAAAATTGGTTCATTTCACCTAGGTTATAAAATTTGTGGGCATAAAGTTGTTCATAGTGCTCCTTTATTATTCTTTTAATGTCCTTGGATCTGTAGTGATATTCCCTCTTTCATTTCTGATATTAGTAATTAGTGTCTTCTCTTTTTTTCTTAGTTAGCTTGTTCAAAGACTTACTGATTTTATTGTTCTTTTCAAAGAACCAGCTTTTGGTTTCATTGATTTTTCTCTGTTGGTTCCATCTTTTCAGTTTCATTGATTTTTTTTCTCTGATTCATATTATTTCTTTTCTTCTGCTTACTTTGGATTTAATTTGCACTTTTTCTTATTTCTTATCCTTAGGTGATTGATTTTAGATCTTTTCTAGTATATGCATTCAGTGCTATTAATTTCTCTCTAAGCACTGCTTTTACTTTACCCCATAAAATTTGAAGAGTTGTGTTTTCATTTTCATTTAGTTTAAAATATTTTTAATTTCTCTTGAGATTTCCTCTTTGATCTATGTGTTAATTTAGAAATGTGTTGTTCAGTCTCCATGTATTTTGAGATTTTCTAATTATTTTCTGTTACTGATTTCTAGTTTAATTCCATTATGATCTGAGGGTAGACATTGTACAATTTCCATCCCTTTAAATTTGTTAGATGTTTTATGGCCCAGAATGTGCAGCTTGAAGGATGGATTCTGGTGAGGTTTCATCAGTTAACCACATAGTGGCAAAGATTTGGGTTTCTTCTTAGTTCTCTGACTTTTCCACTACTACTTTCCAAAATAGGCTTAGTTCAAATAGTGGTAGAGACTATTCTCTTGGTTACCATTTGGTTGATTGAAGATTGACTCTTAAAATTATTTATATTTTGGGTGTTGACCACTTTTTAGATAATTAATTTGTTTGCTCTGGGATAAAAGCTTAAAGCAAAATTAAGTTGATTTTAGAAAATGAGAAGATATTTTCTATAATGGTCATTTCTAAAAGAGAATTTACTGTTTTCTTACTGCTGTGCCATGATTTTCCCATGTTACTAAGTCAAGAATGAACACCAACTTGCCTCAGAGGAACTTTGAAGAAATAAACCTTTTCTGTAAACTGCCTTCCTACTCTTTCTATACCACTTATCCTTGAGTTATGGGGGAAAAAATCTTAAAGTCTTGGTGAAATGAACATTCTCTTAGTTTTGATTGAACTGAGTATGCCTTTTGTTCCACCAGATGCTTTAAAGTCATGCTCTTTCTTCAAAAGTATTTATTTGATCTTTCATTTATTGTTTATTAAGCACCATCTTGTATGTCATGTATTG